GAGAGAGAGAGAGAGAGAGAGAGAGAGAGAGAGAGAGAGAGAGAGAGAGAGAGAGAGAGAGAGAGAGAACGGAAAGAGGAAAAATATAAGAAAGGGAAACGAAGGGCTTCTAAATTTTGTATTTTGAATTATACTCTGAACAGATTGTGCATGCTGGTGTTGTGCTGCAGGCAGGAAATAACAAGCTCACATCGGTTCCTGTGGGGCTAAATATGTGTGCAAATTTAGCATCCCTTGACCTGGGGGTGAGTATTTTTCCCACAGCAATGTGTGATAAAAGGAGCAGCTCAACTGAGAGCAGGAGTAAAATCCCCTTCCCTCCCCCCGCCCCCCCCCCCGAGTTGGCTTATCTCTGATTTCAAGTTAGTTGCTTACTGAGGTATTCAATGATAATAAAATATAAATGTCACAATTTCACAAGTAAAAAGTTAGCTTGCAACTTTGCACCAAAAAACAAAACAAAAAAAAAGTTACTTTTGCTTGGAAGAGAATCAAGCTAACCCTGTCCTTCCTGGCATCCGGTCAAATTAGAACAATACAGAGAACGTTAGCATGGCCCCTGCGCAAAAATGATTTAACGACTCAAACGACTGAAAAACATTAAACGATTAAGCGAGCCGATCAGTATTTTAAAGCGGGTTTCAAATTAATAAACTATCCATTTTCTCATTCATATGCCCTGTTGTGATGGATGGATCCTTTAAATTCCTTTTTATTTTACTTTTTTTTTTAAATTGAGGGTGACAGCCTTGAGATATGATCATTGAACTGAAGGGCCCCGGGTAATTCAAATTTCAAAGGGATTCTATTCTGGTCATCTGATTGTATCTGCATTCTCACTTTGATGAAGTTTGATCTGTAATTCAAATTTTCAACAGTTCGTTTGGTGTGAAACGGTTTCCACCTTTGCAGTAACAGTTGCAGATCCCAGTGCTCGATCCCTAGACCTTTCCTCACCCGTGTACAGTATCAAGTCGACCCCTGTGTGTTTTGAACCCGTGACCTGTGTTTTGGTAGCTGACTGTTGTCTGCATAGGTCTGTGTAGCTGTCGGGTCTTGAACCGTAGGTCTGTCGAGTAGGGGTCATAGCTGTGTAGAGGTCATAGCTGTTGCAACTCTGAAAGGTCAAGGTCGTAGCTGCCACAGCCCCGAAAAGCCAAATCCACAGACTTAGTTAGTAGTAGTGAGCGGCCATAGCCGCCACAGGTTAGAGTTAGCTGATAGCGAGTGTGTGTGTGCGTGTGATACCGAGTGAACATGCGTGGGATATCCAGGGAGATCCAGAGTCAAGTGCGTGTGAACAGTTGATGTAAATACAGAGTTGATACGTGAAGTGAAGGCGCTCAGGCGCCGTAGCCAATCTGAAGCAAGCTTTTATCTGAGTTGTGTGGGCGCCTGGCGCCAGTTTGGATTTGCCATCTGTTTGCATGCGTCCGTCTGATTGCAGGTGTACCAACTGAGCTACGCCCGTTGGGCTTTACTTTACTCTTTTGTTTTATTTTATTTTGTTTTGTTTTTCTAAAACAGATATCCAGGTTGCTCTTTTGTTTTATTTTATTTTGTTTTGTTTTTCTAAAACAGATATCCAGGTTGATAACCTTGGTCCTCATCCATACCAGTCCCCGTCTGGCCTCGGACCCGGGTCCTTTCAGAGGGGAGGGAAAAAAAAAAAGCTTAAGAAGAATTGTATAGAACATGCCTCCGAATGCTCTGGAGGACCAGTCAGCTTTCGAGCATTGGAAGGTGTGTTTGATAACCTTTTTGTTGTTCCTCTGTGGGGCGTTTTACGGTTTTAGTACCATTTTACCTTTTATATACAAGACGTCTGGCCGCCGCGACGGCGGCGGGGACCAAGAGCGGGGACCAAGAGTAGGGGGGGGAAAAAAATTTGCAATTCCGCACCAATGCCCTCTCTCTCTCTCTCTCTCTCTCTCTCTCTCTCTCTCTCTCTCTCTCTCTCTCTCTCTCACACACACACACACACACACNTCTCTCTCTCTCTCTCTCTCTCTCTCTCACACACACACACACACACACACACACACACACACACACACACACACACACACACACACACACATCCCGTTCCTGCCTCCGCTGGTCTCTCTTTTGTTCCTCGCATTGCCCCTCCCCCCGTCCACTGCCCTGGTCCCCACCTCCCCGCACCCCCTCCGACTCATCCCGTTCGTCCCCACCACCCTTTCACGACGCAGAAAAACAAACGTGTGGGCCGTGGATCTACGTGCGCAAAAGACAAAAGATGGCAATGTATTTCTCCGCACTCTAGCGGTAGATTCAGTCTCGTGAGTAGTGCAGTGAGGCCCTAAGTCCAAAATGAAACGACGCGAGCTGGCCCACAAAACGACAAAAAAGATAAGCAAGGTATTTCTCCGTACTCTAGTGGTAGATTCGGTTTCGTGAGCAGTGCAGCGAGGCCCTAAGTCCAAAACGAAACGACGCGAGCGGGCCCGCAAAACGACAAAAAACGATAAGCAATGTATTTCTCCGTACTCCAGCGGTAGATTCAGTCTCGTGAGTAGAGCAGTGAGGCCCTGAGTCCAAAACGAAACGACGCGAGTGAGCCCACAAAACGACAAAAAAAGATTAAAAAAAGGACACAGGTGTCCCGTGGGCCCACCCCTTGCCCCGCCGCCTTTCCCAACACTGGCAAGCGGGTCTCCGTGGGAGCGTCACGCGAGACCCTTTACACTCTTTAAGAGTGTTAAGGATATTGCTGGCAACGGGGTCAACCATCCCTCACATTAATAAAAGACACTCAAGTGACCCAGCCATAGTTGCGGCGCACCTCGGTGCACGGATTTGCACACACGTTGCACACCGCGCGCACCTGTCTCTTATACACATCTAGATGTGTATAAGAGACAGGCAGCGCACCGCACAGCGCACCGAAGCGCACCGCACTGGAAAAATTAGCCCCCCCCCCCCCCAAAAAAAAAAAAAAAGTAGGGGTTTTGTAATTTCTTAGGCCCCCAAACTCGGCAAAAATGTTCAACTCACTGCACGAGTTCAGAAACCGGCCGCGCCCCCGGCCTGGATTTGTTTTGGGGCAAGAGCTGCCGAATTTCGATTTCCGCAGGCCCTTCCCCCAAAAGTTTCAAAATGGCGAAGGATGAAAATAGGAACCACCAGTGGGGCCTGCTCCACTACTCACCACATGCACAAAAGACATAGCATATGGCGGTGTATGGTTCCATGTTTTAGCAGAAGATACATTCTAGTAATGTTATATACATTTGGTGAGTGGTGGAGAAAGGCCCTGAGAATCACGTGCAGACACAAACAGGGTCTAGCTGAATTGGTGACCCATAACTGCCGAGCTACAGCCCTGAACTCGAACCCACAGCATATATTGGCGGTCTGCTCCTACCTCTTTCACACATGACGCGGCCATACTTCTCTTTGAAGCAGTGGTCCTCAATGACTCCACATATATTGTAGGAGCCATTCGTGGTACCTGCATGGGCCCTCGAATTGACGTGAAGGGGACCCTTTGGTCTCTCTCTCTCTCTCTCTCTCTCTCTCTCTCTCTCTCTCTCTCTCTCTCTCTCTCAAGGGCATGTGCTTTGTTTTGTTTTTTGCGCACAGGCTGAACATCCCTCAGCGCGCGCACAGCGGACAGCACGGCGCACTGCGCACAGTGCACTGCGCACCGGCACCGCACTGCGCACTGGTGCGCCGCAACTATGGACCCAACCCTTCCCTCTGTTTCTTCGGTCATGCAACCCCGAGGGTGCAGGATTGCTTACTTCCCTTTTTCCAAGGAAGGATGTACTACTGCTGGACCTCTGTGTTCCAACTTCACTAGTCTGAAGCTGGATCTTAACCCACCAGTACATCCGAAAAAGCAGATTGAGCCTCTCCTAGAAAATAGGAGGCCATGAACCGCCGATTCATTTTATGAACGGTCCATGTCTGCTTTTTCGAATGTACTGGTGGTTTGATCCAACAGTGGATTTCCCCTTTCCTTGCGATTTTTCATTTTTCTCTGATATGGCGGTTAACGCGCCGCAACTGTCGGGGCACGACCTACTGGAGCTAAATGGCGGGCAGCGCAGCCGGCAGCCGAAAAAGCAAAACGCGCTGGTTTGTCTTTTGGGGTGTGCACTGTGCAGGGCATTCCCAGACTCGGCAAGGGAAGGGTTGTTATACGTACTGGTGATTTAAGCCTCTCCTGTTTAGTAACAACAAGCCTGCTCCTTGCAACAAAATGGTTCTCTGTCTAAGTGTCTTTTCCGCTCCTTGCTGTGTGATATCTGGAAGAATCCTATTAGCTGGGACAACCCAGACTATAGCTCGCTACTCGTCTGTCTATTACAGACCTGGTTTTGGGTGCCCTGGCAAAACGAGTCATCCTTCGTAGCCCCGTTCTTATGGCCTGTCAGGTAAGCAGGTGTTATCAGAAATCTCGGTTTGCGTGTTGAAAGATGCTCCTAAAAGGCCTTCCACGATTCAGACCCCAAATTCGGGTCTCAGGGTCAGAGGCCCTGGCCAAGAAAGGCCGAGGTAGCCAATTTCAGAAAAGTCACAGTCGGGTTCCTCAGCAGTTCAGTCCAACAAGCACCCAGCAAACAGTCACATCTTAGGGGCAAGAATCACGTCTCATAATGAAAAGTCGTATTGAAGAGTCTTATCCTACGAGTAAAAGGGCAACTGCACAGGCAGGAGTCGTGACCCAGAGGGAGGAGTCACAGTCCACAGGCAAAACCATATGCCAAAATCGAAAAGTCGTCACTCAGGCCCAAGCAGCAGCAGACCCATGGAAATTCGGGAAGGTTCTAGGCCTTGACATTCGAAAGCAGACAGGCCGTGGGGATGTGGGACCGGAACCCAGTCAGGCCCCAAGAAGCAGAGGCTGGCACGAGTTGAAATGCAATCCAAGACTACAAAAGGACTGGCCAGCCTCCCATTCGGGAGATTGCTCATTCGCATGAAGTGTGGAAGTGCTGGTGCACTTGTGCGCTATTGTGAGGAGCCGAGCGCTGAAGCCAGAGTGCTGAGCTGAGAGAGAGGGAGAGATAGCGCTGGCAGAGGGAAGGCAGCCATAGCTGCGCCAGTGCCGGGTTTTATGTCGTAGACTTCAGAGGGTTAGCAGGCATATCAGAGGGTGTATTCAGAGTAGGTCCTTGAGTAGTAGATGTGTGAGTGCGTGCAGGTAGGGAGAGAAGACACGGAGAGGTGGTAGACAGAGAGAAGATCAAGATAGAGAGAGAAGACAGAAGAGTTTTGGAAGAGAGACATACCCGAATGAAGACACTGCATACTTGGGTTGCGCTGTTGAGCGCCTGTGACCGAAACTCTTAATTGTTTATATGATATTTTGTTGGAATTCTGAGCTGTGCTACTTGGTCTTCATCTCTCTGGTCCCAGTGTGAATCTCGTGTGATCTCATACATGCATGTGGTGTGATTGTGTGCGCTCACTGGTGTTGAACTAAGAGGCTCGTTGCACTCGTTTCTGAGGGATACCAAACTCGTTTTTTTTGTCCTGAATGAATGAATACCATTCTTACGCAGTGTGCTGAAATCCTAACACCCCAAATTGCCAAGTTGATGAGAAATTGCTGTGTCAGTCCAGACCCAGTTCCTCGTCTGATGAATGGGAGCAACCAAGTTTCCCCTTGATTATTTGATGGGATGTGAAATAGAGACAATGAATAAGTTCATGGCATTACGTAACCCACCTTTCCCTCCTTCCTTTAGCTAGCTGCCCGTGGGGCAGCAACCTTTGGTTTTTTCTTGTCTTCAAGGGTATCAATTTTTTTACTTCTAAATTTAGTAATTTTGTAAGAGTATGGAGTGTCGGTGAAGTGGGGGAGGAGAGATGGCGCAGTTTGGCAGGAGGATCGGTTGAGAGAGAGAGAGAGAGAGAGAGAGAGAGAGAGAGAGAGAGAGAGAGAGAGAGAGAGAGAGAGAGAGAGAGAGAGAGAGAGAGAGAGAGAGAGAGAGAGAGAGAGAGAGAGAGAGAAAGAGAGAGAGAGAGAGAGAGAGAGAGAGAGAGAGAGAGAGAGAGAGAGAGAGAGAGAGAGAGAGGATCTTAATTTCAGACTTACGTATGATACTACCTAGCATGATATGTGTACTTCGCTGTTGTTGTACTGGGAGCCCGCCCTTCTGTGTCTGATACAGTGTTGGGCACCAGTACGTTGTGAAGGCCTGACCAAGTAACCCCCCCCCACCTTGGCCCTGGCCCCCAGAAAAAAAAAAAAAACGAAAAAGAAGAACTGGAGCCTGTTTGTTCATATTTTTACCTGTGCTTGTGCTTTTTCCTCAGTGGCGAAGTTCAAAGTGTGTGCAGGCAAAACGCGAAAACTTTCTTCTTACGATATGATATACCTATACTTGGAAGGCAGAGGACACATAGCATACCAGGCTACCCGCCTAACACACCCAGAGAGGGGCCTATAGTAGTAATAGGAAAGCCCTGACAATCTCATGACTAATAGGGAAGAGGTCTATGGAGCTGCACAAGGCAGATTTCAGTCATTCACTCCACAAAATCCATTGAGACAACTCCTGCCTAGTGGATGTGTGCATCCGTGTGCGGTACGGAATGGGGCCTCGATTAATATTGAATCTCTTGGGACTTGTACAAATCGTTTGCCTGCAGGGTAACAAGCTCGCTAGCCTTGAAGACGACATTTTCTCTAATCTCTCGTCCTTGACGGAGCTAGATCTCTGTAAGTACTAATTAATAAAAAGAAAGAATGTAAAAAGGTTGCAATTTGCAAAGTGTTTGTTTGATTGGTTGTCTTTCGACTCTTTTGAGTGCTCTCTCATGTTGGGCTCTGAAGAGTCTGAACTCCTTTGAGAAAAGACTCGTCAACTTTTCCCTTACTTGCTGTTATTTAACTGTGTCATCTGTAGCTGATCCGCCCCATGTTTCTCTCACTTGCCCTTTGCCACAGTAGACTGCTTGCATGCCGGGTTTGGGAGGCGGGCTTTCCAGCGTTCGGGTTTTTGGTTACCCTGCTTCTTTTTGTTTTTTTTTGTTTTTTTTGTTTTTTTTGAGAAACAGGTCCTCATGCTCCTGGCTCCTTGTCCATTCTGGAGAGCATCAGTCCGGTTCCTTTTCACCGGCAAGTCCAAATCATGATACATTAATAGTATTTAATACCCACTCAATGCATGCTTCTGTCCGGGTGGAAGGATACCTGACGGAGTGTTCACATTCATGCATGGTTAAGCCGGACCCGAACACTGCAGCAAGCAATCTGGACGTCCAACCGGACCTCTGTCTGGATTGCTCCTGAACCGTGCGGTGAACCTCCCCCCTCCCTCCCTGCAGCACCGCCCTAAAAAAGGAGGTTTTTTTTCCTCCCCTAGGATTTGGCTACGAATTTGGAGATGATCCTCAGCCAAAAGATTCTTGTTGGGTGGTGGTGGTGGATCTGGACCTGAGACCGGAGATCTTTTTCAAGTTTTTTTTTTTTCACTCGGATTTTCTTTTTTTGGGTTGTGGTGGTGGACCTGGACATCTGGACTGGAGACCAGACCCGGACATCCAGACCCAGACCGTCCGCACTGCAATCCGAATGCCCGGGTCGTAACCATGCATTCGTGATTTGAAAAGAGGTACGAAATTGAAGGCACTTCAAAGAAGAAAGTAAAAGGCTACTAAAAAGTTAAAAAAAAATGTGAGGAGATCATAGTTGCGGCGCACCTCGGTGCGCGGATTTGCGCACGCGCAGCGCATCGCGCGCACTGCACTGCGCACCGGACCAAAAAAATTAAGGTTAAAAAAAAAAAGAAAAAAGTAGGGGTTCCATAATTTCCTACGGCACCCTCCCTGGAAAAAATGTCCAACTCGCCGCGCGAGTTTGGAAAATGTCCGCGCCCCTTGGCCCAAAAAAAAATTTTTGGGCAAGGGTTGCCGAATTCTGAATTCTGTAGGCTGCTACCCCACAAATTTCAAAATTGCCGATTATGAAAATAGGGCTCATTGAGCCTCTAGGGTTTCCTTTTTGGGTGGGGTATGATAACTGGACATCCCCTTTCCTTCTGCAAATCCCACGCAGAGGTGGACAAATTTGCAAGACGGGTATCATTGCCCAATATTGCCGTGGTCCCGCTGTCTAGCAGATGGCACACGTAAAAGCCGACCACCAATATATGCTGAAGTTTGGCGTTCAGGTCTGCATGTCGGCAGTTATGGGTTAGGAATAAGATGCCCGTAACTCTCTCGTTTTTTCTTTTTGTTTTCTTCTGAATACCTGTAGCTCTCTCGTTTTTTCCTTTTTGTCTTCTTCTGAATATGTACAGTGGCCCAAGGGGTCTCTGGCCACTACTCACCACATCCACAAAAGACATACCATATGACGGTGTATGGCTCCATGTTTTAGCAGCAGATTCATTCAGATGTTTTTCATTCGGTGAGTACCACTGAGTGGTGGAGCTAGGCCCTGAGAATCACGTGGAGACACGAACAGGGTCTAGCTGAATTGGTGACCCATAACTCTGGAGCCACAGACCTGAACTCAGCCCCACAGAATATATTGGTGGTCTGCTCCCACCTCTCTCATCGTGACGCGGCCACCCTGCTTGCTGAAGCGACCGTAACCAATCCCTCCACAATGCCGAAGTGCTGAAGTGCGTTGTGAAGGGCATTGCTGGAGTCATATGAGTTACCTGCAGGGGGCCCTAAATTGACGAA